GGCCTAAGTTCTCAAATTGTCCTTCCCTCAAGACCAACATATAATATAGTCCAATAACATTCCAAAAGAATGATCCACTAATGCCCCTAGTCGTATAGTCCAAGGAAATGGCCCAAAGAGGCCCACTAACGCAACGAACGTACGGCGTTTCCTTGTGGAACACTGAGCAATCCTCTTTGGTTCAGATCGCGAACCCCAATGGGAACGCAATGCGTTCCCGAGCCTTACGCAGGGCGTTCACATCCAGGATCCAAAAACTAGCCATTAAGAACTTATTGCTTAAGCCATGCTTTCCAAACTTAGATCCAAGCTATCTAGGACCTCTAAAATTATAAAGTCACAGACTTGGTGACTTTGCATGTCCCCAAATATCCCAATCCTAATCAACTTCCATAAAGATTTCAATAACTCATGCATAAACCCATTAAGACCTTAGAGATCGAAACTTTACTTTTATTGAGACACATTTAGCACTAAGGGTGGCAAACCTAAGCCTCGAAACGATTTGGACTCATAAAAATCCATTCTTGGGACCTAAAAGGTCTAAACCTCCATTAAAATAGATCTAAGCATTCATGAGGCAAGTTGAAAGCTTTTTCCTCAAATGAGTGCCACAAGGTGATGTTATCTCAGATCCTTGAGCTCAAGCTACTTAAGTTCTTCTTCTTTAGCTTCTTCCTTCTCCATTCAAGCTTCTAAACACCACAATGAACTTCACAAGGCCAAAACATACAAGGATGAAAGTATTAGGCTTTTAAGGGGTTTTTTTAGGTTGAGAGGCTAGTAAGGAGGTTGAGGCATAAGACATAATGTTCTTTATATAGGTCCCAAACCCTGAAAGTTAGGGTTTGCATTCAGCACTGGAACACAACGCGTTCCTCAAGGGAACGCCCTGCGTTCGTGCTCCACCTCCAAAATCCTGAGTTGGCAGAAATAGTCCCTCTTTCCTCCAAACTTACTAATAGCAAGGTCCAAAAGCAGTAATTCAATATATAAGGGACCAAAATGTAAATAATACCCAGACTGGGTGTTACAAGTTGGTACTCCTACATTCCCCTAGCTAAGTTTTCTTACAACAACAACTATCATTCCAATATTGGTGTGCCGCCTTTCGAGCTTCTATATAGAAGGATGTATTGTACACCAGTACGTTGGGGGAGAGGTTGGTCACAGGGTCATAGGGAGAACCAAAATGGTCCTTTAGACCATAGAGCTTATTCAGTGGATCAGAAAGAGGTTGCAGATAGCTTATAGTCGACATAAGAGTCACACCGACAGACGGCAATCCGAGTTAGAGTTCCAAGTCGGGGATATGGTTATACTAAAGTTATCACACTAGAAGGGTGTTATACATTTCAGGAGAAGGGGCAAGATGGGTCCCCATTTTATTGGACCATTCTGAGCAGTGGATAGAGTATGCAATGTGGCCTATCGATTGGATTGCTCGAGGAGCTTATACAGGTTCTCAACACCTTTCATGTTTCCTAGCTCTGGAAATAGGTGGTCGATGATTCAATGGTGATCTCTTTGGATGACATTCAGGTTGATGAGCGCATGAATTATGTGGAAATAATGTTAGTGATTCTAGACAAGAGTATGCAATGTGGCCTATCGATTGGATTGCCCGAGGAGCTTATACAGGTTCTCAACACCTTTCATGTTTCCTAGCTCTGGAAATAGGTGGTCGATGATTCAATGGTGATCTCTTTGGATGACATTCAGGTTGATGAGCGCATGAATTATGTGGAAATAATGTTAGTGATTCTAGACAAGAGTATGCAATGTGGCCTATCGATTGGATTGCCCGAGGAGCTTATACAGGTTCTCAACACCTTTCATGCTTCCTAGCTCTGGAAATAGGTGGTCGATGATTCAATGGTGATCTCTTTGGATGACATTCAGGTTGATGAGCGCATGAATTATGTGGAAATAATGTTAGTGATTCTAGACAAGAAGACAAAGGCCTTACGCAAAAAGTTGGCACTTTTGGTCAAGGTTCAGTGGCAACATCAGAAGGGTTCCGAATGGATTTAGGAACCTGAGGCGAAGATTTATGAGCACTACCCATAGTTATTTGCAGTTAAGGACTTCGATGATGAAATCTGATTCAAATAAGGGAGGATTGTAACACCTAATCATTTCTGGTAAATTTCCTTTCCTTATTCTTTGAAGTTTTGATGTTGAGGATGTGACTACGCATGGCGTAGATAGCCTTTTACATGCTGCATAGAAGGGAACTTGGAGGCGGGATTTTAATAACCTATGTATGGTGTAGGTATGTACGCAACATGTATTGGCCTAGAGCCCAAACCCTAATTTCGGGGATTTAAGCCCTATTTAAGAGTTATAACTCTATTGAGGCCTTCCATTATCAGCTTCCGCTCCCTTTAAGCAGTCACCTCGAAACGATAATCTCCATTTGTGGGTTATTGAGCTATTTGAGTGTTGTTCATCTTTGAAGGAAGGTTTCTATTAGAGAGTATGTGGGGAGATTCAAGCTTTGTGAATCTGGAATTCGCATCTCATTAGCATTCTACAGAAGGTATAAAGTTTGTACCTTTAGAATTCTTTGATTAGATCTAGCTAGGATGTCAAGTATATGCCTTTTTGATCCTATTATCTTGGTCTATTTGAGTATGAGCTACTCTAGACCTTGTAGAGTGCATTTCCAAAAGTATTTCAGGGTATTAAGTCATAAAAACAGTATCTTAGCCGTATCCAACCATCCATGCATGTGTTTAAGATCCTTAGATGATGCTGTAAGGTTAGGGTTTGTTCTTGAGCCTTGGTAAGCCATGCAAGTGCATAAAGTTTGGAACTTTATCACTTAGGACAACTATTTACACTAGATCTGAGAGTTGGATATGGTGTCCTTCTGTATTAAGCTCTTAATGGAAAGATTGGCTTTAATATAAGTATGTAGGACGTACTTATGGATATGCAGCGTGTAGCCTTGTTTTGCCCCGTAAAAGCCATATGATGCTCTACATAGGGCCTAGAGTTAGTACGCTAGGCGTACTCAGTCTAAATAGTGACCTTTGACTTTTGACCGTTGACAGTTGAATTTGACAAAGTTTGATTGTAGGTTAAATGGAGTAATTTGAGTGGTAAATTGAGGTTTGATCCGTGTTTATGGTATAATTGATTAGTTGAGACAATGTTCGGAGCAGTGATCAGTTCAACTATCTTTTAGACTTTAAGGTGAGTTTTCCTCATTGTATTCATGGGTCGAAGGCACCAATGTCAGCCCACTAAGTTGTATTATGTATCCTGATACATAGGATGTTGCTATGTTCTAGTGTTCTGTTAGATTGGTGTGAGGCAATACTACTCCGTGCAGAAGCCAACAAACCTGGGAGCAATCCAGACATAAGTTGAGGGCAGGGAAGGCAAGCCAAACTTATGATGTGGGTTCGTGAGCAATCCAAATATAAGATGAGGGTTGGGAAGGCATACTAGACTTATGCTGTGGGCTCGGGAGCGATCCAGACATAAGTTATAGGTCGAGAGGGTGGTCCAGACTTATACTGTGGGCTCAGGGGTAATCCAGTCTAATGGTTATGGACTCGGTATACATGTTGGTATATGTCTGTATGGTAGTATTTTGGGGGAACTCACTAAACTTTGGCTTACAATTTGATTTTATGGTTTAGGTACATCTGAGGATAGAGGCAAGGCGAACGTGTGATTGTGCACATCATTCTCAATATTTATTTATCTATGATTTTGAGATACTCTGATTATGATTATGACTTTTAGAAACTATGTTTTGAATGATTTATTGACTTTGATATGGTTTTAAAATTGAATATTTTATCATTATTTTTTGGAATGTTACAACTGAAATGCCATTAACCTTCTATTATTCCTTCTCATTTTTCGGTTGTTCAAATCCTCAACCAAAATGGTATGTGTTTCCAGTTTTCTATTATTTATTACTCTATTAGTGTTAGAAGATTAGAGTTAAAGGAGGAAGATTTGTAACATTAAGTATAGTAAATGTAAAAATGCCTCACATTTTTGGTTCGCTTATATTCTCCAAATTGATTAAGTCGTCCCTAAAGATGAAATATTTACCTTTACTCGATATGTAGGTATTTTGATCCTAAGTTAAATGTATTCCAAAGAAGTTCTTCATTTTCCTGTTTAACATTGTGGCTTACAATTTTATTCTATCCAAATTGACAAAATGTTAATAAAACATATAAATACATATAACACACCCGCAACAACACAACGTTTTTATCATTTGAAGCTATTTTCTTCAACAAACACCGAGTCTGAATACTACTACGAGATCTAGTGTACATTCTGGAAACATGGTATATATATATATATATATATATATATATATATATATATATATATATATATATATATATATATATATATATATATATATATATATATATATATATATATATATATATATATATATATATGGGGGACCACTAAAACCAGGTGGTGTATGTATGCCTCATTTGGAAAAGTTGATTGTTTAAGAAAAACTTATTTTTAGTTATTTTCTTTAACTTTATCTTCACAATATGGTTATTTGTTAATATCTATGTGGTTAGTTTTGTTAATATCCTTTATTATACTTGATAAATATCATAAATTATAACGCGCTCGTTACATAACAAAAAAATCAATTGTAATAGCAACAAAACAAAAGGTAGATGTGACAATAAACGTAAACCATTTTATTATTTCTTATGAATGTAAGCCTTTTGTTGTATACTAAAAAGGTCAACCACTTATTTATTTATTTATTTTTTATAGTAACGTATTAATATAATCTTCACGAATCCATGATGCAGCAATAGTCGACATAATCTACTCTCTTCCGGTTGGCCATTTCTACGAACAAACGAGTACAAGTTTACTTTGACTTGGCCAAACTTCTCAAAAGTCAACTCCTCCACCCTCCAATAATAATCTTTATTTACTCCTCCATGTGACCTTGTCTATCCATTGACATCATACCACACGAGAGAAAAATGGGGAAGTTGATGCACAGCACCCAAATCCAGCACTCATCTCACCCGCATCTTTTACAACTATCATCTTCCCTTCACCTTCACAACCACCCTTCCGCCACCTGTGCCGGCTGCAATCACAAGATCTCTCCACCGGAGCACATCTACACCTGCACACCCTGCAACTTCTTCATCCATCCATCATGTTCCAAGTTTCCAGAATTAATCACACACCCCGCCCACCCCGCCCACACCCTCTCCCTCCTCACCACCCCTATCTACCCTGCTGGCTTCTTCCGGTGTGATGCCTGCACCCAACACGGAACTCGGTTCAGCTACCATTGTCATACCTGTGATTTTGATTTGCATGTTCTCTGTGCTTCCACTCCCATGAGGGTCACACATCCTAACCACCCCCACCCCCTTGGTCTTACTTTTGCCTCTCCGTATGGTGAAAAGTTGGGTTTTTCTTGTGATGTGTGCAGTCGCATTGGCTCCGGCGACCAGTGGCTCTACCGCTGTGTTTCTTGTGAGTTTGATGTTCATTTACAGTGTGCCACCGCGAAGGTTTCTGCTCCACCTCCACTGCAGCATCATCAGTCGTTTCCAGCTGGTGGAGCTCCTATGGCTGGACAGGGTCTCACGCATAGCATGAGTGTGCCGCCGCAGGATCTGCAATATCATCAGTCGTTTACAGCTGGTGGAACTCCGATGGCTGGACAGGGTCTCACGCATAGCATGAGTGCTCCGCCGCAGGCTCTGCAATATCATCAGTCGTTTCCAGCTGGTGGAGCTCCGATGGCTGGACAGGGTCTCACGCATAGCATGAGTGCTGGGCGTATTCAAACTCAATGGCAACCACCACAGACTCCGGCAGCCGTTGGTGTCCAAGTACAAAGTTACGAGCGACCCGTACAGCCACCGGCACAAGTTGGCGGTCAAAATTACCCGATGGCACCACAACCTGCGGGACCTGCTGTTGCCAATCAAGGTAATGGATTAGGAAATGTAATGCTGACGGGGTTTGTCGATGGTATGATGCAACAACTGGGCCAGGATTTTGTCGAAACTCTTACAGGAGGAGGAGGCGGTGGCGGCGGAGGTGATGTGGTCAACATTGACGTTCAAACCAATGTCACTTATGAAGACTGTGGAAGCGAATAATTCAATGGAAAAAGTTTTAATTTGATTTCAAAATGTATGTAAGGTTTGCCTATTTTGTTTTTTTACAATCTATGAGGCTGTTACTTTGACTGGGTAATTTAATAAGCAAAGTAATACAGTAAGTTATTGCATTTTACAATCATGTTTGATTGCTTGGTTGGTGTATGGATGAAATGAATTTTATATATATATATATATATATATATATATATATATATATATATATATATATATATATATAAATGGTTTTTATAATATACTGCATAAATTATTTAGTTATATTTAATAAAATTTCTATTTACAAAAATATTAAACTTAATGTAAGATTACGATAAAAACAAATTTTTTTAGTTATGTCTTTTTCCGTTTCATGGAAACAGAATCGTCACTAAGGAGTAAGGAATAAAGAGTTAATAAAATTAATGGAATCGTGTTTTTCCAATAATGGATCAAATGAATATTAAATTCGATAGTTAATGGAATCGTGTTTTTCCAATAATGGAATAAAGAGTTGATAAAATAATTTTTTATGATAAGTAATTCGAAATTGTCAAGATTACAGAATTTTTGGACTTACAAAGTAGAAGTTGTGGATTCTATATATAACTAGCTGAAGTTTCATAACTAATCCACACAACCTCAAACTTTACTTATCTCATTTCCTTCGTGTATTTTGTTTTCGATTTTCGAAAAATATTTGATGTGTCCAATAAAACCGATAAAATCAAAGGAGTTGTAGGCTACGATCTGATGCAAAGGGAATCCCTGCCGAAGTGACACATGTCATAAATACGTGGAGAATTTCAACCAAAATTGTCTAAGGTTAAAGGGTGTGGCTGCGGTTTGGAGCCGTGGTTTGTGCCACGTCAGCCGCGCACACCGCCCCCAGGTTGCGGTTCTTTGCAGTTTTGACCGCAGTGCGGTAGTCCATGGCCGCACTCTTTTTTCTCTTTTCTTCTCTTTTACTTGCACTTTCTCTCTTCTCTCAACCAATTATCTTCTTTCTATTTTTTTTTCTCTCTCCTAACCTTTATCTCACTCCCTCATTACGGTTTCTAGTTGATAAAATAAGAACAAATCTGAATTGATGTTTACGTGGCATAGGAAGAAGTTTGGTTTCGGTGGTACCACTCCTTCCAATCTAATATTGTTTTCTTCTATGCGAGAAACTGTAAAGAAAGTTACGCAGATAGATATGAAAAATGAAACAAAATTATTGCAAATAAAGATGACATCATACAAATTATTATTATTATTATTATTATTCTAAAAGCAGAAATCTGTTACCAATATTTAAAAAGAAACAAGGGTTGCGAAAAATTGGATATTACTATATCCTCATTTGAGGTGTCCGTGTGACTGTGAACAGGACTTGTTAGTAATTTTTTTGGTTATAATTATTATTTGCTGTACTTCAACATGTTGTTCTTTTAACCCGGCGGTAGTGTTGCTTTTTAATCGTTTACCAAAAGAGGAAATTATTTATTAAGGTAATTAACTGTTGTCAATGTATTCAATTGGTAATTTTATTTTATTTTATTTTATTTTTATTTATTTATTTATTTTTTTAATCTTATTTACCATTGAACTTGTTGTAGGTGTTCACAGAAACCATTGAAATCGGCTATTGAAGGTTTCTGACAATTTCTTATCTCCGACGACTCTCCGATCGTCTTCTCCGACGAGCCTTCGGCAAAAATGAAATTTTCGACGGATCCTTGGGTCTCGGTTTGATGACTTATAGCAGCAACATGCAATAGGAGGTGGTAATGGTGGTTTACCGGCAGCAAAAGTGAGGTGGCAGGTGGGTTCTGGTGATGGCCGGAGGAGGTGGCAGGTGGCTTGCTGCCTGCGTCCCTTCTTCCTTTTTTGGCAGCAAATCGACAGGAGGGAGAGAGGGGAGGGTGGAGAAAGCTAAGCAGCAACACCGGAGGTGGATGCTGCTTGGATGGCAACCGAGAAAAGTACGCCGGAAAACTCGTTTTTACCGGAGGCTCGCTGGAGAAGACGACCGAAGAGTCGCCGGAGATAAGAAATTGTCGGAAACCTTCAATAGCCGGTTTCAATGGTTTCTGGGAACACCTACAACAAGTTCAATGGTAAACGAGATACAAAAAAAGGAAAGTGACCAATTGAGTACAAGAGCAATAGTTAATTACCCTAATAAATCATTTCCTCTTTACCAGAATGGAAAGCAAACCATACATCATTTTTTAGCATGAACACCATCCCATACTTGATGGATTAGATTTGATGGATTGGATGTGACGTGGCTGCGAAGATAGAATATTTAGAAGGCGAGATTTGATTGGTGGATCGAATGTGAACATTGGTTTTGACCATTTATAACATTTAATAAAAAAAATACGTTTTTTTTTTAATTTATTTATTTCTATATACATTCGTTTTACACATATTTTTCAAAACAAAACACAAACTCTTTCAAAATAAACACACATTCAACAAAAAAAATAGATAATTTTTTCGGTTCAATTTTTTCTTCATTCGATAATGATTTTGATGACGAGTTGGTATTACAAACACTATTATCTACGTCACAAGACATGGTTCTTGAGAGAGGCGAAAGTTTATACCACGAGAAGAAGCGTAGAAAATAGATCAACCGAGATCGAGAGGCGGCAAATGAACTTTTGGTACTTAATTATTTTGCCCCTGATAGTTTATAAGATCTATCGAAATTTGAAGAACAATTTCGCATTAGTAGAAATTTATTGTTACGTGTAGCTAGAGATTTGGAATGCAATTATGATTTTTTTCCAATTAAGACAGGATGCTAGAGGTAAAAGTGATTTTACTACAACACAAAAATATATTGCCGCTCTTAGACGATTGGGATAGGGCATAGCCGCATACGCATCTGATGAGTATTTGAAAATGTTTGAAAGAATGGGTCGAGACTGTATATATCTTTCCTGTGAGTATGTTATAGATCTTTACCGTAACATATACTTGCGACATCCGAATAAAAATGATGTAGAACATTTGTATGTCGCACATTAAGCTAAACATGGTTTTCCAGGGATACTTGGTAGCATTGATTGTACACATCGGGAGTGGGCAAATTGTCCCAATGCGTGAAATTCTCAATTCACGCAAGGTAATAATGGGGTCCCGACTGTTATAATAGATGTGATTGTTTCATAGGATCTATGGTTTTGGCATGCACTTTTTTGTATGGAGGGGTCAAACAATGACTCGAATGTGCTCCAAGCATCTTCGTTATTTAACAATATTTTGCAGGGTAAAGCACCAAACATATTATACGTTTTGAATGGAAATGAATATAAGTATTAGTACTACCTAGGTGATAGGATATATTCAAAGTATGCTACAATTGTCAAGTAAAATTCATTTTCAGCCGATGAAAAATGAAAATTATTCAAGTTAGCATATGAATCTGCAAGGAAGGATGTGGAACGAGCGTTTGGAGACCTAAAACAAAAGTGATGCATAATCAAACATCCGACACAAACATGAGAGATGACAAAATTGACGACGGTCTTGACTGCTTGTGTTATTTTACATAACATGATAATAGAAGAAGAGGATATGACTATTTGTTCATATACCTAGAACAATATACTTAATCTACCTGCAGTAATACAAGTTGGCAACCCGACATACTTCTCTAGAGTTTTGGAAATACAAAATCGTGAAGCACATCAAAATATACATCATGATTTGACCGAGCACATATGGGAAAGACAATTCCAATGGCAAAATGACAATGAAGACGAACATGATGAGGGCGATGACGATGAGGCAGATGAGGACGGTGACGAATAAGCGGATGAGGTCAGGAACGACGAGTAGTATTTCTCTATGGTTTAGTATATTTTAAAATTTTATGTTTTTTAAGTAGTGTAATGTTTTATTTGGTATGTTTTATGTTTATGTTAGTACTTTATGTTTTAAATTTCCATGTCTTTAATTAACGAAATTTGGTTTTATTTTTTTATGTTTTCAAAAAATTTATTTATGTTATAAATTATGATTTTATTTAATATAATGTTAGAAAAATAAATAATAATAATAATAATAATAATAATAATAATAATAATAATAATAATAATAATAATAAAGGAATATTATTGAGTGATAACTATTTCTAATGTCTAGTGGGTTGGTGGTGAAGCTGACGTGGTGCAAAGGTAACAACACTTTTCCGGCGAGTTGGTGGTGACCACTCCTCATAGCCTTACAATTAGAATTTTTTCTTTTCATTTATCTATTGACGTATTTTCCCCATCTTTCTTTTAATCATTGGTTTTGCATGCGCTTGTAACCATATTGAGAGAGAAGATGCTATATAAAATTTATTTAGTGTTGACCTGTACCACCAGTAAATTTAGGTATAATTCTTTAAGTTCGATTTTGTCATTTTTGTATTTTTGTTCCCTACGCTGAGCGGATGATAGCCTCCTACGCTCAATGTAGGTAAAGGATCCCATGCGATGGATTAATGCGGTATGCTAAGCGTAGAGCTTTGTAATTCCTCGATATTCAGGTATTGTTCAAATTATAGTTTCTTCGTTTTGGCCCTACTCAATGAGTCGGTTACCCTACTCGTCGAGTAGCAGCGGGATTGGATCGAGACTTAAGTAACTGACTCGGCGAGTCCACTAGTGCGACTCGACGAGTAGGATCTGGCAAGTGAAACCTTAATTCCCGGGGTTTGTGTCCCTGTTTAAAGGAGCCTTAGCCTCCCTTGGGTCTCTTTACAGTCTTAGTGAGTCCCTGATTCGAGTGTATGTGCTTGGTTGAGTGTGTGAAGCTTGATTTGAAGATTTTGAAGGAGAAGGCTTGAAGGAAGAGGAGGTTGAAGCAAGTTAGGTGGGGAAATCAGTACTACTTTCAGTTGTCATCTTCCAGAGGTATCCTAAATTACCATCTCTTCTGTGAGTTTTCCTTTCATTGAAGTTCTAAGGTTTTTCTATGGACCTTAAAGGTTGATAAGTGAACAATGAGTTGAATCTGAA